GCAGAGGGAAATCCAGTTGCTATCAGAGCTCTACCTGAATGTCTTGGCAGAAAGTCGTGCCCCATCTGGCAGATACAAAACACAGAAGAAAAAGTTTTGGGGGTAAATATGGCTAGTTCATTTTTTGACATGATAAATTTGAGTTTTTTGAGGGATAGTCTGGTAAAGATATCTAGTAGGCAGATATTCACTGATGCATTTGTAATTGCAGTATTAGCCCCCTGTTAAAACAAAGAAAATTCAAACAATCCAAAGGAACATAGGAAAACAGAAAAAAAGAAACAATGGGAAAACATATTTCACATGATATTCAAAATATTAAGCTACCAGTATGGCCTGTTTGCTAACCAATTGGAATCTTGGAAAAGGTCTTAGGGGGTCTTCCTGTGACAGGCATTGCCCCCTTTGTTGCCAGATCAGGATAATGTCAGGGGTAGGGACACCGTGTGTCTCAAGGCAACAACTATTTACCAAGATGGATGGAAGAATTCTCATTTGTAATAATTTATAGGGTTTTACCAATGAGCTTTAGATGAATATCAGCCCTGAGGGTATATGCATAACACAAAAGATGGCAGAAATAAGTCCAAATATTTCTGTAATCATTATCACATTGGCTACATGCACCAATTAAAAGTAGAGTCTCAGATGAATTTTTTAAATTTTGTAAAAAATAATATGTCATTTCTAAGAGACAAACCTAAACAATAATATAGAAAGAATAAAAAAAGAGAGAGAGAGAAAGAAAGAAAGTATATACTAAATACAATCTTAGGATAGCAATCTTAACAGAAAAAGTAAAAAAAGGGGATAAGTCACAAAAGGATAAAACAATATTAACTTGCATGAGCCTAATAATTTGTTTTCAAAATTATAAGGCAAAATCAGACTGAATTATAGGGAGAAACTGACAAACTACAATAAAAGTGGGAAATGTTAAACTTACTCTCTCAGAAATCAATGGATTGAACAGGAGAGAAAGAGAAAAAGAAAAAACAGAAAATAAAAGATCAAAGTACCTCATTAGCAAGCTAGATGGAGAGGTACAGACAGAGAATCTTGTATCCGAAGAGTGAAGACACAGTCACAAAAACTGGGACAGCTGGATAAAGTCTGCATATTAGGCCACAAAAACATCTCAGCAAATTCTAAAAGAGCACATTTTTCATCTCTAAGCATTAAAGTTAGAAGTCAATGACAAAATGATTGCTGTTTTTAAAAGCCATAAGTTTGAAAGCAACAACAAAAAAATGAAAATATACTTACAGATAATCTGTGCATTAAGGATAAAATCCTAATGAAAATAAAAAATATTCATAACTGAGAGATAACATAAGCATGGCATATTCAAACATGTGATATGCAGCTAAAGCAGGATTTAGAGGGAGATTCATAGTCACACATTTATTAGAAAACAAAAGATTTTGAAAATATATGACTCTAATGTTCAACTCTACAAAACAGAAAAAAAAAAACACTAGAGTAAACCCAAGAAAAGCAGAAGGAACAGAACTACGAAGATAAAAGCAGAAATTAAAATAGTAGATAATTTTTTTTAAAGAATTAACACGACTTAAAAGATTAAAAGTCACTTCTTTGCAAAGTCTGGAGAGACTGATCAGAGGCCTTTCTGGATCTTGTCCTCTCACCTGTCCCCAAGGATCCTCTTTGCAAGCCTCTATTGTGTGGCACGTTTTGTTTTCCACTAGGTTACAAGTTGGGTTAAAAGCAAGGGAGTTTTCTTTTCTCTCTCTCCGTGGTACCAAGCACAGCGCCAGAGACATTGGTTGTACTCAATACTTGTCTGTTGAATGAATCAGCATAAGAAAAATTATAATACTGTACTACTCACGGCTATATAGGATGTGACTTTTTTAAACAAGGCACTTACTTTCCTTTACCTCTTTTTATGATTGTTTCAATCCTGAGAAGCAATGAAGCAGGGGATATTCTATGAATTTTTATAGATCATTTTGAAGATTTTCTAAGTGAGAAAGCCGGGGCTGGGAGGACACATCACTTGCGAGTGTGTCGGAGTCAGAACCATGACCCAGGCGTTGCAACACCAGGTTTAGCGTCTTTTCCCTCACCCCGTGTTCTGTAGGGGCGCTGGAGCGGTGACCCTGGCCCATGGGCCTTGAGGACCAGGGCCTTGGCTCCCGCCCTCTGCAGCGCCTCCTCTGCCCCTAGAATCTTGCTAGCCCTTAGGGCTGAACACGTTTGCTGAAAATAAATGGTTGAAAATTATAAAAAGGTGAGCACAATGGTAGCTATTCACCATTCTGGCCTTGAAGAGCTCTGACGCAGGAAAGTGCGTGCTGCATACAGGAGGAATTCCACCCTAAATGATTTATGACTTTTTAACGTGGCATTCAAAGAAACAAGCACTCAGCCACGGAGAAAACTAGGCCATTCGAGGCAGCTCGCCTTTGCGGCTGCTGTGGGGCGGGGGCGGGGGCGTGGTTGTCCAGGCAGAGGGGCTGGGTCAGCGCCAGGTGACCTTCCCCGACCAATCCTCCTGGCCCAGAGAGAGCTGCCTGAGAACGCTGCACAGGTTTCGTGGGGGCTTCACACCTGCGCCCCGAGTCCCACCCGCTCCTGCGCCGAGGCGGGCGCCCCCACCTGGGTGATAAGCAGCCCTGGGAGAGTCTTTCCTGACTCTCTTTTGACCCTCCGCTCCTCTTCTGTTCCTAGGGGCGTTTTATTCTGAGCCGCTCTGAGGCCTTTGGCCTGATTTTCACCCTCACCAGCCCACTCATGTCCAAAAAATGCCGTCCAGCCCCGAAAGAGCCCCGCCTGCAGGGGTGTGTGTTCGCGAGCCCGCGGAAGACGACTGGGCACCCAGGGCCCCTTGTGGGGCTGCCCGAGGGCGCGGCTTCCAGCCCGGCGCCCGCAGGCCTGCCCGGGCAGGGCCACAGCCTGCCCTCCAGCCCCAGGACTTGCAACTCTTGGAGTTTTGTGTGCCTTTAAAATGCAAATAGGGGCCCAACGGGATGGCTCCCGCCTGCAATCCTAGCACTCTGGGAGGCGGGGGGGGGGGGAGATTGCTCCAGCTCAGGAGTTTGAAACCAGCCTGAGCAAGAGAGAGACCGGTCTCTACTACAAATAGAAAGAAATTAATTGGCTAACTAAAAATATATAGAAAAAATTAGCGGGCATGGTGGCGCATGCCTGTAGTCCCAGCTACTCAGGAGGCTGAGGCAGGAGGATCGCTTGAGCTCAGGAGTTTGAGGTTGCTGTGAGCTAGGCTGACACCTTGGCACTCACTCTAGCCTGGGCAAGAAAGCCAGACTCTGTCTCAAAATAAAATAAAATGCAAAAACAGGACCTGTAGCCTGTTTGGAACGGCCCAAAGGCAACATAACCTAAATGAAGGAGCTAAGTAATAAATGGTGACGCCCACAATTATGTACACTGTGCAGTGGATAGGAAGAACCAGGTCTATCCAGATGCCAGATGTACTTCATGGAAAGACTCTCCAACATAGAGTAAAAAAGCACATTGCAGAAAAATACTGCAACACTGTTTTGCAAACAATGCATTTACGTAAATAAACACCGGCACACACAGTGTGTTTTAGAGAGATCTGGAAAGACACACCTAAAAGTGGGCTTAGGGAATGAAGAGAGAATCTGAATTATCTATTTTTTGAATATTTTATAACTACCATATATGCATCTGTTACATGCGTATCCCTTTTTCCAAAAAAATAAGATTTTAGAACAATTTTAGATTTACAGAAAAATTGCGAAGATAACACAGGGAGTTCTCATAAACCTGAGTTTTTCCTATTATTAACATCTTATATTAGTGTGGTGCTTTTGCTACAATAAATGAATCAATATTGCTGCATTTATTAATTAAAGTCCACATATCACACAGATGTCCTTAAGTTTTTACCTACTGTCCCTTTTCCAGGATTCTGTCCAGGAGACCACTTTACCTTTAGTTTTCCTCTTGGTTGTGACAGGGTCTCGGACTTTTCTCGTTTTGGATGACCTTGACAGTTTTGAGGAGTGTTGGTCACGTAATTCTGTAGAACGTCCCTCAGTTGGGATATGCCCGATGTTTTCCTCACGATCTCACTGGGGTAAGGTGTTCTTGGGAGGAAGCCCACAACCTGCACACGCTATCAATATGATTCATCCTTGCTAATGTTAACCTTGATCTCCTGGCTGAGGTTGTGTGTCAGGTTTCTCCACTGCAAAACTACTTCCCCTGCCCTCGTTCCGCACTGTGTGACCTTAAAGAGAGTCACCTACAGCGCACACGGGAAGGAAAGCGCTTAGGAGGCCAAAAGCGGCTCAGGACGGGACCCGGAGCGAGAAGGGCTTATTGGCGCCTGGAGGACCAGGGGTCGCCCGTGGCCTCTTTGACCCGCCCCGCCCACACCCCAAAATCCCAGGTAGCCCGGAGGCCCCCGGCTTCCTGCCCCCGCGGGCGGAGGCGGCTCCCCACGGGCCGGCCTGCCTGGCCCGCACCTGGGGGCGGAGCCGCGTCCAGGCCCCGCCCCGGCCCTGCCCGCCCCGCCCCTGGCGCGTGGGGCCGTCCGCGCCCGCGGAGTTTTCCGCCGAGCCGGCTCCTCCTCCCGCCCCGCCCTGACGGCTGCGGCGCCCGCGGGTCCCGAGTGCCCCGAGCGCCCCGACAGCGGGAGTGGGACCCAGCTCCGGGCGGAACCGAGGCGCCGCGCCCAGGACGTCCGCAGAGAGAGCCGCTCCTGCCCGCTTCCGCGTCGCCCCCAGCGTCCCCCGCCCCGGTGGCCAGGTGAGTGAGGGTCCCGTGCCGGTCGGGGGCTGGGACCGGGCGGCGACGGTGCGCCGCGGCCCCCGCGGGTGAGGCCCTGCTGCCCTGCGCCCCCTCCCGGCCCGGCCCGGCGGCTTCCTGGTTGCAAGAGTGGGGCGGGCGAAGGAGGCGGCAGGCTGCGTCCTGAAGTCCGCCGGGCTGCCCAGCTCGACCAGCGGCGGCGCTGGGGCTGCCCTCCCTGTGGGGTCGGAGTGCACTCTCTGGGCGCCACATAGCCCGGGGTCAGAGGTCGGGGGTCGGTCCTGGCCTGTGTAAGGTCGAGAGCGCGGATCTCGGCCGGCTCGGGGCCGGTGAACCTGCGACCAGAAGGCGACTAGTCGGTGTGAGGGATGAGAGATGGCCTGTGGCCCTGGCCCCCTGACCCAGCCGAGTTCTCCTCCGGAGTGTGTGTGCCCTTCCGGGAAGGCTTGTGCTGAGGAGAGCGAGTAGAGAAGGCTGCTTCGGGAACTTTCTCCCGGAACTGGGAGGACGCAAATTCCTGGGTGCTGCTGCCGTCGCAGTTTATTTGTAAGGAGCTCTCCCAAGTATTGGAGAGAAGGGGGCATCCGTCCCAGGTGCTGAGTTTCCCTCCCTGCCTTCCCCCGTTCTCCAACCCTGACCCCCAGTTTCAGAGAGGGATTCTTGGACTTGTATCTCCCCATGGGCTCACGCCTGAAAGCTTATAAGGTGAAACTGCTCTGTGGTTTAAAGGAGAGACGTGGAGATCCTCAGCTAGACTTGGGAGGGGAAAAGTTAAGCCAGCCAGTGCCGGCCCAAGCTGGGAACAGTCCCCCGGAGCATTTCTGTCTCTGCTCCTCTAGTCAGTGACTTCTCTGTGGAGGTTGGGTGTTTGGGCACAGACCCTGGCTGGTGTCCATGGTAGCCTGCCCTTTGGCTCCCTGCGTCCCTGGAGCAGAGCTGTGAGGGTGAGCCCTACCGGGCCTTCCCAAACCCCAGGGACTAAGGCTTGCAGGCCACGGCCTGTGATGGCACCTCTGCCTGGCTGTCATTATGTCCCTTCATTCCTTTCTTGCTGCAGTCAATTGTCGGGGATCCCAGGAGGATTAACAGGGCCCCTTCCCTCGAGGTATTCTCTGTGCTACCAGGTGTTCTCTGACAAGAGAGGCCAGGTGAGGTGCCAGGGCACTTCGTTGCCTTGGCATTGGGTGCACACCACTGTGAGTTTCTGCATACCTCCCTAATGTCATTTCTGACTAATCTCTGTGCTTTGGTTTCCCCATCTGTAAAATGGGGATGATAATAATGCCTACCACACAGGCTTATTGAGAAGATTCAATGCATTAATAATATATTTAACAATCGCACAGTGTTCAGGTGCTGACCAGTCAGAACAGGTGGTGACCAGTGCACCATACTTGCATGTCCCAGGTGGGTGTCACCCACATTATGCATAAAATGTCTAGGCTCATAAGTGACCAGATGTAAGTGTCAATGAATAATAAAGGTAGCTATTACTCCCTCCACACAGCAGAAGGTACAGCAGAGCTGAACTGCTCCCCTCCTTAACCGCTCTGTCCTCCTGTAATGGCCTCCTTCCTCCAGTGTGCCCAGACTTCTCCTTGCTCCCAGGAGTCCCCCAGGGGCATGCTCTGAGCTCACTCTGCCCCCCTTCCTCACTTCTCTTGTACTGACCCAGTTCGCAGTACTTGCCTTGTGCAGTGTTTGTATGGCCACGTGGCTTACATCTGCCTTTTCCTCTGTCTCTGGAGGGCGGGGGCTGTTTCTGACTCATCTCTTGGTCTTTCCATCACATGGGCCTCGCCTGATGTAGGTGCTCAGGAAATGTTAGCTGAATGAAAGAAGCAGGCCAGGGAAGTGGTTTCCCTGTGGCATTGGACCTAGAAGGCTGGGTTTGGATAGGCAGAGAAAATTGGGCAGGGTGAGATGGAAATGAATCTAGAGTGAGAGGCCAGGTAGGAACCCCATCTGATGCCTTTGCGTAGCCAGGACAAGGATGATAGAAAGGGCCCGTTCTGCATGGTTGTGCGTAGAAGGCCAAGATTGACTAGCGATGCCTTGGTCACCAGGTTAGGGGAAGTGATGGGTGGCTTGGGGTGACAGGAGAGAGAGTTGAGACAGAATAGGTTAGTATAGGTTCTTCTTGGGCATTCAACGCAGAATAGAGAAAAGAAACCAGTGTGGGCAGGAGGCAAATGTAGAAACCAAATCTGAGCTGCATGCTGGACCTTCAGAGGGCCCAGGACCTTTCTGGAGTGACCTCTCCTTTCTCCTGGATTCACCCCACTCTCTCCCTGTCTTCTTAGCTGCCATCTTCCCTCTTAAGCCTAAAGCATTTCCTGGTGCTTGGCCGGGGAGCACAGGGGGAGAGTCTTACATGGGTGTGGCTCACAAGCACAGCCAAGGGAACAGGCTGTCCAGTTTCTTTGGATTTTTCCTTCTAACACCCTCTGATTCCATTGCCTCTGGAATGTCAGGAATTTTGAGTGATACCTAGATAGGAAAGCTCTTAGGGTAAATGGAGAAACAGATTTTCTTGGTGGGAGTTTGCATTTTTGAAAGGAGTTGTTGAAATTCAATGAAACTTTCTGATAACCATAGAAACGGTTCCACATTAGGCTTGCCGACTTTAACCCGTGAAATAGAGGTTTGATAATCACGTGGTTGTTTGTTATTGGGGAGGCTCCTGAACAGTGACCTGAGTCACCAATGGCCTTGGCTATGCTGATGTGAGGAAGTAGTGGGTAGGGGCACCCCAGGAGTTGGAGGACAGAGTTCTTGTCTGTGCTGGGTAACCTGGGACAAGCCATTTAGCCACACAGAGCCCCAGTGTTCTGGATGATAAGATGCCTGCCTCGAATGGAGAATCAGATGACATGATGTTTGCAAAGGGGTTTGAGATCTGTTAGGGGTACAGATGACAACGTTGATATTATGGGTGTGTTACTGCAGGGAACCTTGAAGCTGGGGGTGGAGCGTGTGGAGGTGGAAGCCTGGCTCTGTGAGCTCTCGGTGTCTAGTTTTCTGGGGGCTTGTGTTCTTCCTTAGCAGAAAGGAAAAGAGGAAGTTGAGAGGAAAATCAGGTACCCCCTGCCCCTAACACCTGGCAGGGGGAGGCTGGCTTAGAGGACAGTGAGATGAGGGCAGAGAAGAGAAATGTGGGGGCTGCTGACAGGGACCATATGGCCTGGGCAGTGGCATCTTGGGGGGAAAGGGTGTGTATGGGCAGAGCCCATGGTAGCAGATGTGAGCTTGCTGTGTCCACCGAAAAGGTCACAGCTATTTTTAGGAAGTAGGTGAAAAGGCATGTTTCCATTGAACTCTTCATTAGTGAGCACCCACTGTTTGCCTAGCCTGTGCTGTGTGTACAAAAGGAGAGCCACCTCCACTCCTTCCCCTGGCTGTCCCTGAGACATGGGACACTGGATGACAACCAGGGTTAGAAGGGGAAGAGCGTGGATTTGGCTTTGGGCCTGTTAAATCTGAGGTGCCTTTGAGATACCAAATAGGCTGGTGGGTCTGGGGCTCAGGAGAGGCCTAGGCTAGACTGGCATTTTCGTCTAGGTTGTGTGTGTATTTGAAGTCAAGGGCACAGTGCGATGGAAGAACTCACCTCCGACAGCTGAGTAAAGGAAGATGAGCCTGTAAAGGAGCCAGAAAGGGAGCAGCCTGAGAGGGGCACAGCACAGTTGTGTCACAGCAGCCAGGATGTGTCCGCTTCAACAGGGCTGAGTGGTCACCGGTGGCTGTGCTGCTCTTAGCCGCGGCTGTTTTGGTGGGGTGATGGGAGCAGAGCCAGACTGGAATGAATGGGGGAGGAGTAGCAGCAGGTGAGGATCTGGGGCTAGCAACTATAGCCAGGCTTTGAAATGCTGGCTTTAAGTGGAGGAGGACATCGTTGAGGGAGTGCCACTCCCTTTCCACCCCGGAAGGTAGCATGTGGATAGCCTGTGGATGACATCCCTCGCCACCTCTCTCTCTGCTCACGCAGACACGGGCACCTGCCAAGGTTTACTCCTTTCACATAGCGGATTCATGCTGGACACCTTAATCTGCACCTTTTGTTTTTGATTTATTTAATACACACAGTAACTATGGGTTACTGTTATTCTAGGTCTATATCAACTGTGGAATGTTCTGTGGTATGGAATTACCATAATTTATTCAGCCTTTCCATTATTGATGGGTATGGAAATCATTTACTGTTTTTATTGACTTGTAACAGTGTTAGAGTAAACAACCTGTAAGGACCCTGATAAATGTATTTATTTATAAACAGTTGACATTTTTATGATAGTTAATTTTCCAAATCAAAGGCAGATTACAAACCTTGTAATATGTCTTTATTAGATATTATGAATAGGACTCTATATATGCTAAAATTTTAAATATATATCTAAACAATTTTTTGTATTCTTTCTTTTTTTCCTGTTCGTTGGTCATTAATTTCAACCTTATCTTTATTTGTTCCTTCTTACTTTTGGTTTATTTTGTTGCCCTCCTTTTGATATCTTAATTGATACATTTATTTTAGTCTTTTAATTTAAAAAGCATGTAGTACTCAACATTTTCCTTTGAGTACAGTTCTAGCTGATAGGCGTTCGTATTAGTGCTTACCTTTCCATTGCTTTCTAGTCACTATGTCAATTTGTTTTGATCCAAGGATTATTTAGAAGATGGGGTCCTGAATTTCCAGGTAGATAATTTTGTGTAGGGTGTGATCATATTTTAATGTTGACTGCTAGTTTTGTTGGATTTTGATTTGTGTATGTGGTCTGCAAAAATTTCTTCTTATTGGATGGTATTAAATTTTCTTTGTGCCCATGATCAATGTTAATATTGATTCATATGAACATGATAAATATTAAAATGTTTCATATACATGAAAGAAAATTTGTATTCTCTGTGGCACGTAGACTTTAGATATATTTTTTAACTTGAGCTTACCCTTTATATTCTTGCTTACCCATTTGTCAGATTCTCAGAGATGTATCAAAAACTCTCATTATAATTTTTTCTTTTAAGAGACAGGGTCTTGCTTTGCTTCCCAGGCTGGAGTGCAATGGAGCCATCATAGCTCACTGTAGCCTCCAACTCCTGGGTTTAAGTAATCCTCCTACCTCAGCCTCCTAAATAGCTGCAGCTATGGGTGTGCACCATCATACCCAGCTAACTTTTTAAATTTTTTATAGAAATAGGGTCTCACTGTGTTACCCAGGCTGGTCTCAAACTACTGGCCTCAAGGGATCCTCCCACCTCAGCCTCTCCCAATGCTGAGATTACAAATGTGAGCCACCACACCCTGCCAAATAAGTGCATTTTGTAAGATAAGTAAATGAAAGGCCCCAAAATTGAGAGGCAGGCATCAAAGGGCATGCTGGTCATGCCCCTTTTAGTTTCTGTTGGGCTCACATGGAACAGTTAATAATCAGGCCTCCCATCTCAGCACATGACTGTCCCGATGATCCCCATGATAGCCAGGTTTGTAGAAGGGATAAAATGAGGTTTGCCTGCAGACTTTCTCTTTGGCAGTTCCTGCCCCCTTTATT